CGGTGAGGGGAGGGCCTGCCTGCCCGCCGCTGCCGAGCGCTGTGGGGACGGCGTGTGGTAGCGAGCCCGGGCGCGGGTCTCGGCTGCCCCCCTCCGCCCCGCGGAGCCCCGGGGTACCTGTCACGCAGCGGGGCACCGGGTCCCCCGAGAGGGCCAGCAGCGCGTGCGAAGCTGCGTGGAGAGCTCTGCGTGAGGGACGCGAGGAGGAATTGTATGCCCCCTCGAATACCACTAAGAAACCTGTAGTCATCAAGGACAGGACTGGAAAACAGTGGGTTCTCTTTCACGTAAACGGTTTACTCAGTATCCCACACCTGTTCCCAAGTCCGCTGCGTTCTTTTCTTGGATGAATTACAGCTGATGCTCTTTGGCCAGCAAGAGGCATTGTGAATTTATGTGAGGAGATTGAGCTAAAAAATGAGAGGAAGGCAGCTCTGCGCCTGCTTCTTGGTGATGCCTTCTATATATTTTTGGTACAAATGGAAGCAGAAACCTTTTGCTTGCAGATCATTTGAGTTTAGCCTTATCGTGGTTGGAGTTTGGTTTAGGTATGTTAAGTCTGAGAACCACATGTTTTGTTAGTAAGGAGCATATACTCAGATTTTGGCCATTTACCCTGAAGGCACCAATGATGTGTAGTCAAAGCCTGAGCAGGAGAGTTATCACAGAAAAAGCCTCTGAATACTAGGAAGACTAACAAAAGTATATTTATGTGGGTAAATGGAATAAAGAAAAGGTTTTTTAGGCCTTTAATTTTTTTTTTCCTTTTTTTTTTTTCCTCGCCCCAGGGAATTGCTTTAAGGAACATGGAGGAGTGAGCTCCCTGCAGTTTCTCAAGTTTCTCATCTATCTGATTCTGACATGATCAAATGTTTGGTGGAAGATGTGCAAGCCAGGCTGCGTTCTGGAGTGACTATCAACTCACTGGGGCAGTGCGTTGAGGAGCTTGTCCTCAATAGCATCGATGCCAAAGCAACATGTGTAGCTGTCAGGGTGGATTTGGAAGCTTTTAAAATCCAGGTGGTGGACAACGGCTCCGGAATGGGGAGAGAGGACTTAAATGCAATGGGAAAGCGGTACTTCACCAGCAAGTGCAGCTCAGTGGGAGACTTGGAGAACCTGATGTTCTATGGCTTTAGAGGGGAGGCTGTAGCAAGCATAGCCAACATGGCCAGCATAGTGGAAGTTTCATCTAAGACCAGCAGGACAGCAAAAACATTTGTGAAACTATTTCACAATGGGCAAGCACTGGAAGTCTGTGAAGCTGAAGTGAGCAGACCAAGTGGTGGAACTACAGTCACTGTGTGTAATCTGTTCCATCAGTTACCGGTGAGGAGAAAGTGTATGGATCCTGTGTTGGAATTTGAGAGAGTGAGACAGAAAGTAGAGGCTATTTCGCTGATGCATCCCTCTGTTTCACTTTCTTTAAGGAACGACTCTTCTTGTTCTATGGTGCTTCAGCTCCCTAAAACAAGAGATGTATACTCTCGGTTTTGTCAAATTTATGGACTGGGCAGATCACAAAAGTTACGAGAAATAAATCATAAGTCTGGGGGATTTGGGCTAAGTGGTTATATCAGTATTGAAGGACATTACAACAAGAATATGCAGTTCTTGTATGTGAATAGAAGGCTTGTTTTAAAGACAAGACTACATAAACTAATTGATTTTTTATTAAGAAAAGAAAGTGTCATTTGCAAGGCAAAAAGTGGCCCTGCGAGCAGACAGGCTAGTTCAAGTCCTGGTCGCCATCGTTGTGGCCCAGAGTTGTATGGCATCTTTATTCTCAATGTGACCTGTGCGTTCAATGACTATGATGTGTGTCTGGAACCTGCAAAGACTTTAATTGAGTTCCAGAACTGGGATGTTCTTCTAACATGCATAGAGGAAGGAGTGAAAATATTTTTGAAACGAGAACATTTATTTATTGAACCGTGTAGTGAGGACATCAGAGAATTTAATGAAGATAATGACTTTCGTTTGTATAACGCTCCAGTTCTGAAGCCCTCACTCTCTGACGAGAAGAGCATCCAAGACAGTTTTAAGAAAGCATGTGATGAAATTGTGGATTCCTATGAAATGTGTAATGTGCAATCAAAAGATGTCAAAAGGAAATCCATGACTGCAAAAAAATCTTCGAATCTTATTGAGTCAAATAAAAATCTAGAGGAAACTGAAATCACCCCACATCAGAAGATTGCTGAACCATCTGATCCATGTAGAAACAACAGAGTGGAGATTCCACTGCCCAGCAAAGATGACACAGCTTCTGATTTCATTATATCAGAGATCTCAGAGCAGGAGCCAAAAGACACCAACAGTTCCCAAAAAGCATCTGATACTCATCTGAAACCTTCAGAAAATCTTTGTTCCTCTTTTAGTGGAGGGGCCAGATCAGAAACAAGAAAAATAAACAGATGTGACCTGCAGCATTGTGCAGAGAATTACATAAAAGATATGGGAAGCCAGCAAGGCAAAGTAGTGCAGAAAAGCAACACAGTCCATATCTTAAATAATGATGTTATTCAATCGCGGTCTGAGAGAGAAGACCCTACCGAAACAGCAATGGGACCTGAAACTGTCGCTGGAAGTTCATTGATGGGACTATGTAATGCAAGAAGAGGAGACAGGGAAACAGCTGAAGTGATAGATGATGCTGGAAGAGGGGCTGTTATTTCAATGCCGTTAAAATTGTGCTCTACAGGCCTTATAACACGTGTTATGCAAAATGAGCCCCCATATGAATGTGAAAAAACAGAAACAAATCTTGCATTAAACATGCAGTGTAGAGCTGGCCCTGTCAATGACAAGGATATTTTTGGCCACAGAATAAATTTTCCGATTCAGTCTTTAAATGCTAAGGATATTTCCAGTAATACAAATAAAGAATACACACCTCCTTACACCAGAGAAGTATGCATGGTTGATGGTGATGAGTGGTTAGAGAACAAAACTTTGTCAGATCAAGTGAGTGAGGAGATAGTTATGCCTATTGCCACCAGTAAAAGACATTATGAGACAATGAATGTTACAGAATTGCCGCTGGCAACTTCTTCAGGTATTCCTCACCATGAAGTTATAAAAAGCACTAGAAGACAAATAGCTGTGCCAAGATCTCAGCCTTCTAAGAAGCTGAGCTTGTACACACAGCTAGGTTCGTTAGAAAAGTTCAGGAGATACTATGGGAGAGTCAAGTGCACAATACCAACACCGTTGTCAGAGAGGAGAGAATTTGGTCTCCCGGTTTTTAATTCACAAGCTAATTGTGACTTTTCAAAGGATGAGAATGACAATCATGGTAGCTTGAGCACTTGTGAAACTCTGACTTTGGAAGGTACAGATTCTAATAATTGTAGCCAAGTTTTTGGTTCTTTGGAAGAGACTTCACTCTGCAGTGGAGAAACTTCACAGGACAAACAAGCCCTTTGTAAGAGTCCTTTGGCGTTGTCTGATTACTCTCAGGTTAGTAAAATAAATATAAGTTGTAAAAGATCTCCAGGATCATTATCATCCAAACTGTCCAGAATGAAAAGTGACCACAAAGAAGTAGAGCAACTTGGTGAACAATTCCAAACAGATTCAAGTAGAAAAGATGACTACTCTTTTGATCTCGAATCTTCAAATAATGATTTTTTGTACAGTGCTTGTCAAACATATAAATCCTCAATGGGAAAAATGAAGGAATGTAATTACAGCATTTCTAAGGGGGGTGCATGGTGTCAATCAGATGGTACGAGGGCAGAGTCCATGAAAAGTACTGTCAGCTCATCACCACTCAGCAGCGTAGAAGGGGAGTATACAGTCTCTTCAAGCAGTGTTTTATCATTACCTGCTAAAAAGGATTGTTCTAACATCACCTGTAGAGATAAAAGTACATTAGATGAATCCTCAGAACAAAATCTGAAAGATACTGAGGTTCCCCATATGACCTTCCTAAGTAACTTGGAATTCTCTGCAGACAACACAAGCACAGGCAATCCCAGGAATGATTTGTGGTGTTCTGACTGGCTGCAAGATTTTGATGTTTCATCGGGTAAGACAATATACATCAATAAAGCAACTGGACTGAGCATGTACCACACTCCTCCTACTGAAGGATTTCAAGCTGCCTGCATTCAAGATATAACAACAACGGCCGTGAATGTTGTCTCAGAGAATGGTAAGAGGGGTGGCAGTGGTTGTTGTAAAAATGGGATGAGGAAAACACTTTGTGTTCTGTTAGGTGCATAAAATATCTTGCTGGCAGCACCTGACAGTTTGTACTGAAATAGCCACTGCCTTACATGTAATAGCTGTATGGAAAACAGGAAAGTGTTGGGAAGTATGGAGACGGTAAAATGTTAACATTCAAGATGTTTGTCAAAAATTATCTTTTAATAAGTAAAAAGAAATGTCAGCAACTTGTCAATTAACAGACAACTGC